ACTCAACTCGAGCTATCGGGAGAGCAGTTGCTTTAAACTTATCTCTCACATTTAATGCTGTTGCTTGTTGACTTCCTGATTCTGTGGAAGTCTTCTGCTGTTCAGCAAAAGTATTTGGGCATAATGCTGTATGATGCATACCCTTGCATTTAAAACACTTCTTCAGTGAGCATTTACCTCCCTTGTGTTCACCTAAACACTTGATGCACCTTTTCAGCTGATGAACACGTTGTTTACGTGCCTCCATTGATGTGTATTGACTACAATACTGTGCCCAATGTGTTCCATCACAAAGTACACATTTTGGAGTACGTTATGTGTGACAGTCTGTTTACTGTGTGTTGTATTCACAGCTTGATAAATGCCTATATGGGATTTCCCATTCTGTGGTTTAGTGGGAGTAGGTATACTCTTTTTATACTGAGTTGAAGGTTTATTATCCACTGGATTTGTGGATTTTTCATCTTGTCTCGTTGCTTGCATGCATGAAACTATTGTTTGTAAACCATTGCTAATTTCCTCACAAGTGAAATAGTGTTTATTGAACATAATATTTAATCGTTCAATAGTTTGTGGTGACAACTTATCTTGTACAATACCACTGATAAACCAATCACATTGTCTTAGGTCATATTTAGCACCTAGAGATCTGAGACTATTGTTTAATGTGATTCTAAATGCCTGTAAGTGTGAAAAACACTGTTTGGGTGGCTTCAAACTTGATATTAAGACTGCATGTCTAACTCTGGCCTTGTCAGCATCAAAGTAATTGTCTGCTAAGACACGTAAGGCTATTTAATAATTGTCTTTAACCACCGGAAATGACTTAATCAGTTCATAGGGTTCTCCCTTCACAAGACATTTAAGATAATTGAACTTAGCAATCTCATCTATGTCAGTTTGTGAATTTACTATGGATTGAAAACCACTAATGAATTCTTCGTAATTATGACCTTGGAAAATAGGTAATGACAAGGTAGGTAAACTTGGTAATGGTACACTTGTTGTTGTTACAGGTGTAACAGGTGTTTGACCACTAGTTACAGTAGGTCTCTGTGACAGAGTTTTGCGGCAGATAGCCTGTACTCCTGTCCACCTTAATTGTTCATTACGAAATGTATCCAAAACATTTTTAATTTCATCCTCAGATGGGTCTGATTCAAGAAATTTATTTTCATAATGTGTATAGTCTGAATTAATTATTTCCAGACGTTGTGTAAGTAATTCAAATTTGACCTCAAGATCATCAAAATCTATGTTTGTATCTTGAGTTAATCCTATACAGACTGAAATTAGATTTTCTAATTGTGTAATCTTAGTCTGTAAAGACTGAAACTGAGTTTTCAAACAAGCCATTTTAATGGTATACTGAAAATTCTAGCACCACACTTAGAGTGTTCAAAAAACACTGTACTGCTATAAACAGCTGAGTTTTGTTGTGCTTAAGTCAGCAATAATCGAGTCAGACACTACTGACCCACTAAGCTTAACCTCAGGGTCAATGACCATGAAGGGTACAGGGTACATGTGTCTGGTGTTTATGGCTTGTTTGCTGTGTCAGCCTGACCATGATGATTAATCGTAAATAACGATGTTATACACTTCATTCACTATACACTATAAATGTCACTGTATAACTGTAAATCACATGTGAATATTACTTACACATATATAAATGTCACTGTTAATATATATACATGAAAGCTTAAACTTTATATTTAAGTTCCTTTAATATAACAGGTATATCTATAAGAAACAAACTTTAACACAATCTTGTCTCTTAATTTCTGTCTATAAACATTATAAACACTATGTGTATATACACTCAGACAAACTGAACATCACTTGGGTTGTTGTTGTCTTAGTCAGCGCTTCTTCGAGTTTGGAGCAGTGGATGCCGGGTGCCATCCCCCGTTTTCTTGTTGGGTGAGTCACCCAGCTCCCGTTTTCTTTGGGTGAGTGCTGGGTGAGCGCCCGTTTTCTTTTGGTTGCCCATTCTCTGTGATTGAGTCTGGAGGGACTCATTTATACTGATTTATATTGTAATACACTAGTTTTACAGCTTTTTTCGAAGGACCTTGGCTCGTAGGTTATTTGTACACTGTAGTACAACATATTTGGACCACAGTGTGGCCTTTATCCGGTTTGAGTACGACCAAAATGTTGAGAAATGCGATTACCAGCTAAGCTTATACATTTTGTATAGGGAAAACTTAACTTAGAAAGACAGCTCATCGCCTGCACAGCCGCCCCTGCAGACGAGGTCTTGAGAAGCTGTCGAAGTCATTCCTCAACGTGCTGAAATGAGTTTTAATTTGTAAAATTATAAATTATCCCTAGGGGGTGTTATGTCAGCATATTTCATTCACTGATGGCTGACAAACTTACTTGTGTGGACTCAAAAGTCTGCCCCTTACTGCCAACTATAGGTTGATTACAAACTCCTTGCGACTCAAGAACTGTGCAGTCCCCCGTACTACAAGAAATTCGTAACCTACCTTCCTCTTGTAGCGTGAGCTATGGTGTTCTTCACACCTTCGACAGGTATTGGTGACTTGATAGAAGCTGAAGTGTCCTTGGATGTCCACGTCTTCCATAGTCTAGGAATACGCACACTGGTACACTATGTTCCACAAGATTTGTCTTTATTGTTCACAATCTTATCACTAAAGAAGCTGATCACACTTCTCTGTAAGCGTTTATTGTGTTTTGTGAGACACTTTGTTCACACTAATGCACAGATCGTTCTTTGTTGGTTATCCTGGCGTCAGTGTCACTCTCAGTAGAGTCAAAAGTAATCTGAAGACGCCACAACGCCACAACGCCCCACGCCATCACTGCCCCTTGCACAAAGGAAAAGCTGACATAGTACTTTTGCTTCCTTGCCACTTCCTCGATGAAGCAAAGCAGAATGTTTAAATCTTGCTGTCTTAAGCATAGACAACAATGTCCACTATCTTTACTATGGTAATAAAGTGGGAGAAGGATTTCCCTTAATTGTCCTGCTAAGGTAAGAGATGTACTGTCTCTTATTAAAATACACTCTGCAACACTGGACTGCAAGGAGTGGCGGTCGCTTGACCACAGGTCGTATACTGGTACTGCATCTGGGATCAATTACTCGCTGTAGTAGTAAACAAGATATTTGCCCCTTCTGAGAGGGCTGGGCCCCTCAGGGCTGAAAGGGGCTGAAGGGGGCTGATACCCCCCTCCTAGAGAAATTTCTCCACAATGCACTCTCATACATACCATGTACTTTCATATATACCATGTACTCTCATACATAACATGTACTCTCATACATACCATGTACTTTCATATATACCATGTACTCTCATACATACCATGTACTCTCATGCATACCATGTACTCTCATACATACCATGTACTCTCATACATACCATGTACTCTCATACATACCATGTACTCTCATACATACCATGTACTCTCATAATGGATTTCCATTTTATTATGTGATTTTATTTACTAACCTTATTTAACCTAACATTTCTTAACCTAACTTTTTCTAACCTTCCCATACTTAACCTTCCATGCTTTTCCTACTTTAACCAAATCTAGCAGAACCTACTTTAACCTAACAAAACCTAACTTAATTAAAGCTTGCATAACTTAACCTAAACTAATCTAACCTAACTTAAAATAAACTGTCATAATTTAACCAAATTAACCATTAATTATCATAACCTAACCTATCCTATATTAACCTAAGCAAACCTACTTTAATCTTACCTACTTTAACCTATTATTACGAAATCTATCCCACTGTTATCTACTCTAAAATAAACTATCCTATTTAAACTGCCCCATATAATTTAACCTAAATTAAACATAACTTGGTCTAAGCTAAATTAATGTCACTTACATACCATCTGATAACCTAAACCAGTCTCATAACCTAACATCCCTTAGCCTAACATAACCCACACTAACGTAACATAGCCTAACGTAGCCCATACTAACCTAGCATAACCTAACCTAACCTAATATAGCCTAACCTAACCTGACCAAACCTACAATAATATAACCTATCATGATCTAACACAATTGAAAATATTATACAGCGTGAAATTTTGCAAAAACAATCCATAAAGTTATATCGAGAACTACGTAAACAAAAATATAGGTAGATTTCATTAGGCGTCAGACGCATGACACTGTGGAAAACACATCAGCTATGTAATACAAGTAATGAATCAGTATACTCTTTGTTTTCTCGTCTAGTCAGCCTTCAGACGATAGAGAGTTTGCCTGTCAACAACACACGATACATGATGGAGATTGAGGTTGTGAAAGCTGTGGTGATACCGATATAATGTGGCAGAGGACACATGTGAACAATTCAAGATATTTCTTAAGGGAATCTTGACTCCACGGATAACTTCATCAGTGAAGAATTAGACACATGTCCAACATGTGTCTAATACCCAGATGTTGCACAAGTGTCTATTTCTTCATCTTATCGGTACTGTGTTCTATTTATCCGTGGTGAAAGAAATCCTTTAATAAATGTACTGAACTGAAGTTACGTCTCCTGTGACTTGTATTATGCTGCCACTATTCTCAGAGCAAAACAAAAGGATGAGATGACTGGGCAAGTCTTATTAAACCTGCTTCCCTTGGTTACCTAGCAGTTAAATAGAATCCGGGATGTTAGTAGGCTGTTGTAGATCGCATAATCAGAGGGATTTGACATATGGGCAACTCTCCTTGCAGAGGCTGCCCCAGTTTATCAGGTGGTAAATAGGAACTTTGCTATTAGTCACCTGTTGTGGGTCGCATCCTGGAGCAAGCCCTAAGGTCACTAACGCAAATAATGCAGAGTGAATATTTTGATTGTGATACATAGGAACATAAGAAACGAGGAACACTGCAGCAGGCCTTTTGGCCCATACTAGGCACGTCCTTCATAAATATTATTTATCTTAGTTGGTAATCTGAAGCTTCGTTTTTGACTTTAATAAGTGTTTTTCTTTCTTCAGGATTTCCACTGCCAAGAGTGACGTGGTGGCAGGATGCAAATTTGCTAGACAATACTAGCTACGTGGTGAGGAGCAGCAGCGGTGAAAGACCGCTACACACTGTCAACGAAGTCACCGTGGGACCACTCACGCGAGAACTGGTCCAGGTTCCTCTCACCTGTAGGTCGGAGAACAACCCACTCTCTCCACCCATGGACCACACCATCAATATTAAGTTACACAGTCAGTATTAAGTATAGTGTGTGTTGCGGGGGGGGGGGTGAGATGCTATGTCGATGCATGTCTTGTTTCACCTTCCCGTCCTGACCTAGGCGAGGTACACCCTTCTGTCTTAACCATGGTTTCTGCTGCATAAAATCTGTCTCACTGTTTCTGTTGTGAGGGTCTATTTTACTGGACGTATCTACCCCCCCCCCCCTTCCCAACTTCAGTCCTTTCCAAGTATCTGAAAATTTATCATCCGGGTTACTTCAGCCTCTCCAACTGTTAGGCTTGATGATATTTTGAATCTTTTCCTCCATCGACCATATTTCATCGTGAGTCTTCCCTTAATCTTACTGAGGTCCGTGGATTCTCAGCGACCTCTCTCTCTATCTCTCTCTTCTTCCCACTTCCTTTCCCTCTATATGTCTGTGTCTGGAGTAATTCCTTTGGTAAGTCCCTCATCATCTCCTGCACCACCTGATTGCCTAAGAGTATCTCGGCAGAGATTTTTTATGCTCCTTCACTTCCTTCTGTCCCCTCGCTTACTAATACTGTTCCTGCTTCCATCTCATTGCTCTTTCCTGGCAACAGCTCCATTTCCCTTTTTAGCACCTTCAGATACTCTTGCAAGCTTTTCACTTTTGCCTCCACAGTTGCAGCCCATCTCTCCCATTCTCTACTCTTTGCAGATACCTTCTCTGCATTAACCTATATATGGTTTCTCCATGCCCCATCTCTTCTCTGAAGATGGTGGTTGCAGGGCGCTTGATGGAGGTTGGCTGATTTCCTAGAGTTGTTGGTCGATTGAGCTGTTTCCGATGTGGTGTCCTGCCGTGGGAGGTTTGCAGATGTAACAGGGTTAGTTGTAAGTTGAAATTTGTTTGAAGTAAAGTTTCCATAATTTGGGGTGTTTTTTTTTATCCTTATTGGACATAGAATGGCTTTGGTATTACCCATTCTTCTAAATCTTCGGGGAGATCACTCAGGATCATTGGTCTCGGGAAGTTGTCCTTGTGGATGAAGCGTCGGACTCTTTGTTGGAGGGTCATCCTTTGGGTTCTTTGGGGAGGTGTGTTGATGATGTAGTCGGTGGTGTTTGCTGGTTGGGGAGGGTTTTCTCTGTCTAGTATATAGAGTTCCTGCATATCGTATGGTTATCTCTTCTTTAATTTATCTAGCCTGACATTTATTGCATCGATCTCCTGTTAGATGTGTAGATCTTCCATCCTGATTCCGTCTCTTCGCCTGGTGATAAAGAAGAGTGCTCTGATCTGGATTCTTTGTAGCCGTAACATGTTGAATTTCGTTGTTAGTAATACAGGCAAGCAAGGATATTCGAAAATTGGTCTTATCATCATCATGTAACGCTGCTTCTTTATGTGGGAAGGGGCTTGAGTAAACCTGAATAGTTGACTGAGGCGGACGTTTGCTAAATTCACATTTTTGTGCACCTCTGATGGAGATACCCTCTTTGTTGTCAATAGTTGTTGCAAAATAACCGACGGTATTGATGAGGACTTTTTCTGGATTGGTTGTGATTCTCCATTTCTTTTCTCAGTTTGCTGTTCTTGGTAGTTCTGCTTTCCAAGATGCTATTGATAGCTTGTTGGGTTCCTAGGTGGGTCCTGAAACCGAACTGCTTTTCAGTGAACAGATGGTTGAAATCCATGTAGTAGTTCAGGCTATTGGAGATGATTTTTTCAAAGACTTTGCCAGTGACTTAAAGTAAGGAGATAAGTCTACAGTTCTCCGGTTTGTGGTTGTCTTTGTTAGGTTTTGCAATGAATGTCATCATTTCTGTCTTAAGTGCCACGGGAAAGTATCCAGCCGCCAAGACAGCGTTAAAGATATTTACCAGAGACATCTTGCAGTTACGGGGTAGGCACTTTAATTGTTATTCTGTTATGCCTGAGGGGCTAGGGGCTTTATTTCCCATTCTGCCTGAGGGTAATTGGTCTGGGGAGGGAGTATTCGTTTTCAAGGGTAGAAGTATCAGTTGATGGTAGTGGATGGAAGTCTGCCCAGTTGTCGTCCCTCCATTGGTTGACCCACTGGTAGTGGTTGTTGTTGAATCTTCTACTATCATTAAATGAGAGAATTTTCTCCCACACTTCACCAATCAGCTTGGGCTGGTCTTGTGGGTCCTCGAGAAGGGTAATCACTTCCTCACCGTCTTCGTCGGTGAAGTAGTGTGTAAGGTGGTGTGCGGGTGCGGGTTTAGCCCCCAGCAGCCGTCAGATCTTACTCCAGAACTCCTCCGGACGGAGTTTGTATTGGTTCGCCTGGAGAACAAGATATTTCTATATATCTCCTCAACCTCTGCAGTACAATCCGTGTGGGCTGCCCCATTTGGTGGTGCCTTCTACATTCAGCTTGGTAATTATTCATGCTATCCTTAAACTCCCTGGTTAGTTTGTACTGCTGGTAAATCTTTGATGTTGTTAGTGTGAACCAAGATTATTGGTATTATGGTAGTGGGGTTCAATGATACGTCTTCGGAGGCTTCTTGTTAAGTCATGGTGGGTACACAGGCTTGTGTGTTGTGCCCATGGCCCGGGAGGGCCATCCCACGAGAGGAGAGAGCTACTAGGCCTTGTGTCTTCCTGCTAGGCCGCTGTGTGAGTGAGAAAGTGTGGGACCAGCTTCCCACAGTCTTGGACAGGCCCAGAGGGCAGCACTTTAGTGGCGCGAAATATGAACTAAGCTGGCAGACAGCATGTACTGTCTGTGCAGACAGTACAGGTTGTCTACATACGCTCGGCCACCTGCCAATATGGTCGTCTCGACCATGTCTGGAGGTAAAAAAAAACTCGGTCTCTCTCTCGTAGGAACAGGGCAGCAGACCACAGCATGAGGCCTGGGACATCTGGCTTGGTAACCCACGTGGCTTGTAGATCCACGTGACATCGCCGACACCCCACGTGGCGCCGTGATCCACGTGGTGTCGTGATCTACGTGGCATGCTGATCCACATGGCTTGCTGATCCACGTGGCTTGCTGATCCACATGGTTTCGAGTGATCTACATGGCATTCCGATCCACGTAGCTTGCTGATCCACGTGGCTTGCTGATGCACGTGGCTTGCTGATCCACGTGGCTTCGAGTGGCCTCAGACATTCGGATACACAGCTCTGACATAGAATTCACACGAAAAACAGCAGAAAACACAGTAGAGGGAGTGAGTAGTGGTGGGTGTATGGTAGTGTGGTGGCGAGAAGCGTGGGTGAGTGTATGACGAGGGAGCATCTGGCCACTTCCTCCTCCCCCACCCACAAACACAAGGAAACACACTGGACACAGAAATCACCACAAAACTCACCTCTGGCTTGCTGAAACAGCTGTGCTGAGCTGAACAACAACAGCAACATACAAGTGACGCTGAACACGTGACTTAAGAAACAGCGTGGGACACTGTAGCATGGGGTCACTGGGACGCCACTTACAATTCTCGAAGAATTCGGCAAATTTCGGCTGGATCCTGCTTGTACCTGTGTCTGGATGCTCGAACGTGCAGACGTGACATCAGGATAACTCGATGAGAGACGGATGCTTCTTGTATAGGGTGATAAAGTGAAGATGACTTCATACCTTCCTTCCTCTCTCCGGCAAACACAACTGCTGCGACCACTGCTTCTACCAATGTGAACCAGTGATTAATTGGTATTATGGTAGCGGGGTTCATTGATACGTCTTTGGAGGCTTCTTACTTTATTGTTAAGTCGTGGTGGGTACACAGGCTTGTGTGTTGTGCCCATGGCCCGGGAAGGCCATCCCACAAGAGGAGAGAGTTACTAGGCCTTGTGTCTTCCTGCTAGGCCTCTGTGTGAGTGAGAGAGTGTGGGACCAGCTTCCCACAGACTTGGACAGACCCAGAAGGCAGCATTTTAGTGGCGCGAAATATGAACTAAGCTGGCAAACAGCATGGGCTGTCTGTGCAGACAGTACAGGCTGTCTACATTAGTTCGCAGCATCCCTGGGTGGCCTCTGAGATTCTTTCGTGGAGAGAGCTGATTGCCTCGTCTATTGCAGTTGAGGGCTGGTTCTCAAGCAAAAGAGTGTGATCATTTGCTAAGTAGTCCCTGAAAGGGTCAAAACCTAGTGTTTTTAGGTTGAGTTTCGAAGGAGTGGGTATCCAGAATGGCAAAGTCTGAAGCTTTGTTATGACAGGAATGTGGTCTGATCCGTCATTACTGCCTGGGAAGAGACTGAAGTGGTATAAGTCACAGTCTCTGTTGAGAAGTACTACATCAGGTATCCCTGGGCGGGGTCCCACGTATGACTTAAAGAATGGGCCTTGGAACGATAAGTCTCTTGCTGTCATTATATTGAATAGCTGTTTACCTTTTTGGTCACTTAGCGGTTGGGCGGCGCCGCATATGAAGAAAGCGGGGTGATGGGCACTAAAATCTCCTTCTAGAACTATAGCAGGAGATTTACTGAGTAACCGGTGAAGAGGGATGGACTATGTACGGCTGTCTGGGGGGGGGGTAAGTAACCCGTTCCCACTATTAACCGTCCATATGAGGTAGTCAGTTCTATCCCTAAGATGCTGTCCTCATCAACGTGAATGTTACATATTCACTGCTTCACTAAAACGGCCACTCCACTGAAGAGCCCACTGAATTTCTCGAGTGTTGAGTAACCAGGCAGTTTTATATATTGGTCTGGTGTGGTAGCTGTCTCATTCTGAAGGATAATGTCCGTATCGTGGTTGCATAGTTCTAGGAGGTAGCGGTTGTTGAAGAAGTGTTGAATGTTAAGTTGTACAATTTTGATCCTCATTATTTCGTGTTTTGCGTCGTTGCTGCGATCAAAAAGTATACCTCCTACCAACTCAGCATCATGTATGTATACAACTGGTATAACTGTGTGCAGCTGAATTCATGAATAGTACTACACTCACACACACATACACACACATTCTTGTATTAAAATGAACCAAAGTAGTTAGGCCACTTACCTTTATTACCCCACGTCCCCTCCCCCCACCCATCCTTTTCCATACTTCCATCATAACC